TGTTGTCAGTGGACGAAGTGCAGACGTTTCTCTCATTGGTTGCCGTTTGAGGAGCGATAAACTATAACGGTCAGACTATAAACCCACTTTGAAGCGGTACTAACTGCCGAACCGAAACGTACTAAGCCGTACCAAATCGTACGCGCAGTGGAAAAGCGAAGCGAGCCGAACCGTGCCGCAAAGAACCGTACCGTACTGAGCCGTACCGAGTCGTACCGTGCAGTTGAAAAGCGAAGTGAGCCGAAGTGTGCCGGGCCGAACCGTACTCAGCTGTACCAAATCGTACCGTGTAGTGGAAAAGCGAAGCGAAGCGAGCCGAACTGTGCCGCGCTGAACCAAACTGAGCCGTACCGAGTCGTACCATGCAGTGGAAAAGCGAAGTGCGCTGAGTCGTACCGAGTCGTACCGCGCAGTTGAAAAGCGAAACGAGCCGAACTGTGCCGGGCCGAACCATACTGAGCTGTACCAAATCGTACCGTGCAGTGGAAAAGCGAAGCGAAGCAAACCGAACTGTGCCGGGCTGAACCAAACTGAGCCGTACCGAGTCGTACCGCGCAGTGAAAAAGCGAAGCAAGCCGAACTGTGCCGGGCTGAACCGAACCGTACTGAGCTGTACCAAATCGTCCCGCGCAGTGGAAAAGCGAAGCGAAACGAGCCGAACTGTGCCACGCTGAACCAAACTGAGCTGCACTGAGTCGCACCGCGCAGTTGAAAAGCGAAGCGAGCCGAACTGTGCCGGGCTGAACCGAACCGTACTGAGCTGTACCAAATCGTACCGCACACTGGAAAAGCAAAGCGAAGCGAGCCGAACTGTGCCGCGCTGAACCGTTCTGAGCCGTACCGAGTCGTACCATGCAGTGGAAAAGCGAAGCGCGCTGAACCGAACCGTACTGAGCCATACCAAATCGTACCGTGCAGTGGAAAAGCGAAGCGAAGTGAGCCGAACCGTGCCGCGCTGAACCAAACTGAGCCGTACCGAGTCGTACCATGCAGTGGAAAAGCGAAGCGCGCCAAACCGAACCGTACTGAGCCAAACCGAGTCGTACCACGCAGTGGAAAAGCGCCATTTGACTGGGATGTTTTTCATTTAAACTGAGAAATAAACAATAAATATAAAAATAGAAATTTGGGATACTAAAAAATATAATTTAGAAAAAAATTATAATATTAAGGATACTGCACTATAATTAAACAAGTAAGAGTTATTAAAATACTAAAACTTTCTGAAGTTCATGGACAGTTTTTGCACATATCGATTGCACATATTTGCAATTTTTATTTTATCGTGATGATAAAATAGTTTCAAATGAAAAAAAAGGATGAAAAAATGGTTAGTAAGAAAGCAAAACAGAAGCATTTTCACATTTGAAGCCCATTATGAAAGGCTCACACTGACACTTTGAATTCTTGATTAACAAAAAATAAATAAATGTGTGTGTGTGTGTATAAATCCTATAGTCAATTAAGTTAAACATTACTTGTAAATCAATTAATCATACTGTGCAAACAGAGAACTGAGATTTGATCATGTTAATATTATTAGCAAATAAGACTTGAATGAGTCATTCATTACAGAGATGAATGCACATGAAAAACCCTGGGGACTATGATAATCTAATAATAAAATTACACAACACTGAACTGAAGGATTTAATAACATCCAGCAACATCCAAAATCTCCTGCACAAATGAGAAACTTAATAAAAAAAAAAACACCTGAAAATAAATCAAATGATTCATGTAATATTAATGTGTTTTTTTACTAAACATTTATTAATGAGCAACAAAGATTCATGAAAAGAAATATACAGTATAAATTAATGAAGAAATCATTTAAATATATTATTTTATTGAAAACGTAGTATCTTTATGTACAGCCTCTCATACATATACTATGGACTTAAAGAATTTTCAGTGAATGGAAACTGTTCTCTCTCGATCTCTAAAAATAAAAGTACCAAATAACATAGCTAGTTCTCCTCCAGCTCGTAAAATACAACTAGTATTGCAGCCTGGAAGGTAAACATTAAATACACAATGGAGAATATCAATATTAATGATCTATACATTATTGCATCATCAGAGAGCTGCAGAGTGCAGTCTCGAGACAAATAAGAATATCACAGAGAGAGAGGAAAGGCCCACGCTTTTCCTATTACGCAAAAGAGAGTTTGAATCGTGATGAAAACAGGCTGACTCTACTTATATGAGGAAAAGAGGAACCCGAACACATGGAAAAGAGAAATGCTGTGTTTCCTGTCAGATGAAAGGATAAGGATAGAGTGGTGAACTGGTGATTGAGCTTATTGACTACACGATACAAGACAGCACACAGGCCAAAAACTGCATCACAGGCTCCCTGACAACATCAAGCCGTTGACTGAACACGTGAGATTTGGGGTTGTTTCTGACAGCGCCTCCAGGCGTGTGATTGTCCGGGGTTGGTTGAGTTGAAAAGGAAGACCATGATAATTCAAGTCTTTCAGGAAGCAGTTCAACACTTTAATTGAAGTGTTTTCAAATGCAAAAGTCCTCACTAAGACGGAATATCCTTCCTGGGTTTAGCGGACGGTTGAGGATAAAGTTTCAATAAACACACCATTGTTTCAAGATCTGAACGTATAGTGCGGCATGGTTCCAGAAACGTCTCAGTAAGGCGCAAATAGGATGGAGCCGCGCGTGTGTCGGATCGGTCCCGGAGCGGCGCGGAGAAAGGAGGCCTGAAGCGAGGCCGTCTGAAAGATGGAGGTGTTGGGACGAGGGTGGAGGGAGATGGACGGGACTGTGGTGGGGGCGAAGGGTGTGTGGAGGAAAGCCTGTGAAATGGGCTTCACCATGTCATTCTGCAGGGCGAGTTTGGCCTGGAAAGGAAAGGAAACAAATAAACGCTGAATCAATTTGGTGACGGAGAAAGAACAGTGTCTGCTTCAAAAAAGAAACGAGGACTGCACAGTTAATGGAAAGCACATTGATTATGTGGCCTACTGTGATGTAAATACATATATACTCTGGTCTGCATGCACCATGTACATCTGAGGTTTTATGAAATTGTTTTTAGACATAGAATGTAAAAATAGTCAACTATAAGCAGAAATTACAACCTCTTCCTTTAGTTCCCCATCTACAAATAATAATAATCATTTTATTACTAAGTACTATTAATATAATTGATAACTATTATAATACTCCATTTTATAATTGATATACTACTACTAATAATAATAATAATGCTAATTAAGTTGAATACTTTATGAATAATAAAATAACAAAAGAAGAGTTATTGAAGGTGTTATTATTATTATTTAACACTTTAAATATAATGATAAAAATATAATAATATTGTTGTTATAATTATCACTGATAATAATAATATAAAATATGTTTATACTTTACTGGTAATAATAATACTTTGTTATTTTAATACTTTATTTTTATTTTAATACTTTAAAAATTACTATTACTATGATTATTCATATATTGATGATGATGATGATGTTATAATAATAGTTTATAATAAAATTTAAAACTAAATAATAGTAATAATAATAATAATAATATTTACTAGTTTACTAAAAATGTTACTGGTAATAATAATAAATATTTTAATTATTTATTGGTAATAATAATAACAATATTTCTTTTTGTTTGTTTAATACTTTACAAATTATTATTACTATTATTATTCATTTATTGATGATGATGATATAATAATAGTTAATAATAAAGTTTAATACTAAATAATAGTAATAACAATAAAAATAATAATAAATACTTTACTAATAACAATATTGTTGTTATTGGTATAATTGTTAGTGGTAATAATAATACATATTTTAATTATTTATTGGTAATAACAATAACAATATTTCTTTTTGTTAGTTTAATACTTTTCAAATTATTATAATTCCTATTATAATTATTATTATTTAATAATACTTTATTGATGATATAATATGAATAATAATAATTATTATTAAATTTAATACTTTATGTATAATATTATATTAGTAATAACAACAATTATAATGACGATAATAATATTTTTTTAATACTTAAAAATAATAATATTGTTGTTATAATTACTACTACTACTAATAATAATAATAATTTAAAATATTTTATGCTTTACTGGAAATAATAATAAAACACAAAATAATAAAAATGTTAGTATTACTACTCTTTTTGTTGTTGTTATTAGTAATAATTAAAATGTTACAGTTCTTTTCTAATGCAAGTCTATAGATTGGATAATTTACAGAAATTGTCCTAAAATATTGTTAAAAAAAAACAATTAATTAATTCTTATGTGACATTCTGTAAAGCTAGTCTGAGCTAGCAACAGTAACCAAGGGAGGTGGAGCTTAGCGAAGGGCCAACTGTACTACAAATAGCATATTTTGCATATAATTTGAAGATGCGAGCATTAAGCCCCTCTGATACATTAGCATCCCAGAGTAGGTATTTGTCAGCCTGGAAAGTGTGGAACAACTCCTCAGAGCACTGACACTTGAGCTGCGAGAAACACTTGATGAAAGCGCTTGATTATGAAGAGTATAAATAATGCATTACTGCCAGAGAGCCGGAGCTGCGCTGCTGCTTGTTGTACGGGCTGTATTTTGGTTTGGTGGGTTTCCCAGCCACTCTGTCCTTATGCCGCCTGCTGGAAATATGCTGTGAAGAAAACAGACATTTGTGACCAAACTTAACACTGAACTGAACCATCAAAAACAGCATAATAGGAAGTACAACTTCATTTTACCCGCATGCAAATTTGGTAAGATCAAGCCACAGAATCACATTACTATTTATAGTGCTTTCATTATTCATCACTGCACACGTTATGTTTTGTTGTAAACTGCATAAGTAATGTGATCATGCCGAATGCAGCCAAAGACACATGCTAACAAGAACACATGAAACTGAACCGAATACCTGTTTAAGCTGGATTTCTGAGTTGACGTGGACATCACAGATTTCACAATGAAACGTCTTGTTCTGTAAGCCCGAGCCTTTGTTAAGTTGTGTGGCCTGAACTTTGAGTTTGGACCCGGGTCTGGGGTACGCTTTAATGGGGCCAGCTCCATTTCGTGCCTCCAGCATGGTTTTATGCTTTGAGCCTGGGGAAACAGACAAAGTAGAATGTTTTATTCAGTGCAGCTGTAAGGCTTTCGGCTGCATTGATCTAACGTTGCACAATTTCTAACAATGAATATTTCAATGAAGTCAGATGAGAAATTGACTTAACTTATGCTTATTTTTATGGCCTACAGTTGTGGAATATACGAGTACACAGTGATTTTGTTTAAGGTATGTGTATTTTAAGTTTCCTAAATTTCCTTCACTACTCATTTTGTGATACGCCCCTGTCTCACGACTTGCGAGTATTAAAGAAGTAGTTCACTTTAAAAAAAAAAAATTGCTGATAATTTATTTTCTTCAGTCGAAAAGAAATTAAGGTTTTTGATGAAAACATTCCAGGATTTTTCTCCATATAATGGACTTCAATGGGAACCAAACGGTTCAAGGTCCAACAGACAGTTTCAGTGCTAAAAATGAACTGAACGAATTCATAAAATTCATCAAAATGAACAAATCTTTTTCCGAGTCATTTGGTTCATTCAACGAACAAAATGAACGAATTGGCTCGGAAAAAGATTTGTTAATTTTGATGAACGAGTTCGAACAGGAAAGTCACGTACGCGCGTCACAGAACAGAGCAAGGCATGCGTTTGAGCTTATAAAACTTTGTTATTTTTTTTTTTTAAATGAGCGATCGTTTCTCTTGATAAGACCCTTATTCATCGTCTGGAATCGTTTAAAGCCCTTTCAACAGTTTGCAGTTTGCACTAAAACTGTCTTTTATACCTTGAACCGTTTGGTTCCCATTGAAGTCCATTATATGGAGAAAATCCTGGAATGTTTTCATCAAAAACCTTAATTTCTTTTCGACTGAAGAAAGAAAGACATGGCCATATTGGATGACATAGGGGTGAGTAAATTATCAGCAAAAGTTTTTTCTTAAAAGTGAACTGCTCCTTTAAGTGAATCAATTCAAAATTTGGGATTTTAGATAGAAAACATCTAAAACTTCTTCCAACTTCTCTGGAGCATGGTCAGCTTCGAGGGGCCTGTGACTGCAAGATGCTCATTTTTCCTCCAGAGATTGCAATCACCACACTTATGCCTTGAAGAAGAACTCGCTGTACCCTGGGAGGACTCAGTGGACGAGGCATATGAGCGAAAACAACTACGCTATGCTGAGCTAGATGCTGAAGCACAAGATCACGCATGGAAAACTGAAGTCCGTTCAGTGCAGGGGGTTTGTGGTAGTGTCCACCACCAGACAGCTTGGAGACCTGGGAATCAGAGGCCAGAGCCTGCGCCAGCCCATCAAAGCAGTGTCTGAGGCAGCTGAGAGAAACAGCCAGTGGCTGTGGATAAAGAGACAAGACTCTTGCTGGGCTCCAGCTAGATTGAGTGATTGGGGGGATACACTGCAGGGATCACCCCTGTAGAGCCTTCCTCAGCCGAGGATGTCTAGTTATAATGGTTGAAACATAATGGTCGAAACATCCAATGAAAATTGAGGTGCACTACTGACGATGCATCCCTCGGATTTTATTATGCATTAACTTAATCAAAAGTTCCAGTAAAAACTTTTATATAACGTTACGAAAGACTTCTATTTCAAAAAAATGCTGTTCTTTTAACCTTCTATTACAGCCCATTCTCACCCCCAAGGCGTCACTTAACTGACGCCTTGGGAAGCATTTGGACATGCTTCAATATCTGACGCTTTAGGCGGCCTTTAGCGTCAGTTAGATGACGCCCTAGGATCGCGTGTACCCTACCCCCACCCCACACCTAAACCTAACCGCGTCCTCTAACTGACGCTTTCCTTTAGCGTCAGTTAGATGACGCCGTAGGATCGCATCATGTAAGTGACGCTAAAGGGCGCCTAAAACGTCAAATATTGAAGCATGGTCAAAGGTGACGCCTTGGGGTCAGTGGCGCCTCCAGAAATTTTTCGTAGGGGTGGCCAGATGGGGCCAGTTAAAATCTTGGGGTGGCACACCAAAACTACAGTATAAACCATAATTTCAGAATTGTTTTCTACTGTTGTAATAAACCAGCCTGTAGAAAACTATCAGAAAGACTTAAGGAAACTCCTACTGATATACTTTGGTTTATTGTGTAATATTTAATGTTACTAATGATATTAGTAGGGCCCAACTAATATATATTACATTGTATAATGATATATATTATATGATATATAAGGGTCCTTGCCCCACAGCAAATTTCCAGATACTTACATAATTGTGATGAATTTAATCATTTTTAAGTTATTAGTTTGCAGTGTAAGATTACAGTTAACACATTTAAATATTACATAAATGTATTATGAATTTTTAATACACTTAATGAGTGTATACATCAGCAGCAAAAAGTAATTCTTGAAAAAATCTGCACAGTAATTTTATAAAATCTAAATATGTTAATAAAACAAATTACTATTAGTTCTCTTTTAAAATTCAATCAGGCAATCATGTCACAATTTTATATTTATATATTAATGTCAAGAATTCAGAAGTGCATAGCCTAAACTACAAATAAATTATATACAATTAAATTATGCTTATTTAAAATGTATTGAGCAGGCTAGGTATAACAAAATATATTGGCTTTTAATAATATTTCAGTGCGCAAACCCATGATTACATGAAAAACAGAGAGCACACAGCGTGTATGCGCATCGCGGGTGCAGAATGATGTGCTCAAAGCAACATGGAGTCACAGTGTGCAGCAGCACTGCGCTTCAGAAGTGTGCATTTAAAAGCTCATGTCACAAATCGAAGAAATGTTGAGCGCACAAATCCAAGTGCGATTTGTTCCTTTGTTTCACAGTTATTGTGCGTTTGATGCCGATTCATAATCCTTGTGATATGTATGTGTGATCTAACAGAACATGGTAGTGAGTCGTTTAAAAACAGCAACAAACTCCAAGAAAATAAAGTAATTTTATGCGAATATACAGACTTTTATCTACAGATCATGCATTTATAATGTCAATATATCATATTGGAGAGAGAGTTTACCGTGCATCCAAGAGGCGCGCGTGCTGTTTGAATATGAATGGAGAATGATGACAGCCGCAGAGGAGGGAAAACGAGTTTATACTTTAATGATGTAAATATACTTCTGTTCTGTCCCTCACATTAAGCTATGGAATGACTTCAGATGACTTTGTCACCCAAACTGACGTAAAAAAAAGCGGGAGGTGCCGAAAAGCGCGCTGTTTGCATCCCTGCCTGTCCGAACGTGGCAAAAACGCACCTAAAAGCTGCTATAACAGTATACCATTTGGCACTTAAAAAGCACGTCACGACACATAATTCCCCGTCTTCTTTTACTTAAGAATATTTTTGACTTATTTATAAAATGCATAACTGATGCAACAAAAATTAATACTGGCCATTGGGGTGGCCAATGGGGTGGCCAGGAGTCGGCCAGGGGTGGCCATGGCCACCCCTGGCCACCCCCTGGTGGCGCCATTGCTTGGGGTGAGAATGCGTTGTCTATTAATCAAAGAATCCTGAAAAAAAAAAACATCAGTTTCCAAAAGTTTTTAACTGATAATAATACAAAAGAGCAGCAAAGCTGCATATTAGAATGATTTCTGAAGGATCATGTGACACTGAATATACACAAACTTAATATATATATATATATATATATATATATATATTAAGTTTGTGTATATTCAGTGTCACATTCAGTGTATATATATATATATATATATACACAAACTTTTAAACAGTTGTGTATATACTGAATATTGTCAAAAGGCTGAAAAATATCAAGATATTTTGTAGCTTTATCACCCGCCCAACTCTGAACACATTCTTCTATAGTGTGTCTGGATAATGTTTTCTAAGCATTAAAAAAAGCTATTTCTTGCAGATAAAATGTATTATAGCTGAGCATAACTAGAAAAAAACTTAATTGAATACATGTCCATGTCTTTTTAATATTTGATTAGTCTCACTGACTTTTCCAGTCTTTTTAAAATTCTGCAATATGTTCAGGATCTCCTTGACAGTGGGAAACCCGTCCACATTTCCCTGTTCTTCATACATTATCAATGATGAGCCTCACATCGCTACACTGGTTCTGATTGATGTTTTAACTGCAAGTACATTTCCACACTCCCAAGCCTCAGAGGGTCACTTCATGACACATTTCATTTCTGATAAAGAAGAAGGTATAATGGTGAGGGAGCGGTGGGAAAGAGTGTGATGCGGAGGCAGATGTTGGCCACACCTGTGTTGTGTGCCTCCAGCTGTGAGAGGGAGTTGACAGCCACTTTACACAGCGAACAGTAGAGGAGCTTCTTGGCTTTCTCGTCCTCGGACTCCACGCTGGGCTCTGACGGGGCCGTTGGCACCGCCGCTGGTTTGGAGGGGTTCTTCAGGGCTGCCGCGTGCCCTGTCGGCTCGGTGGGTGGGCTGGCATGCGCGGGTGCCGTCTTGCACGGGCTGGGCACTAATGCCACCGCGGGCGCAGCGGGAGCTGGCACAAAGGCTTGCGGGGGGGCAGGGACTTTGTGCGCAGCCGACGGCTCTGCACTTTTCTCTGGACAGAGACAGAGAGAGAGAAAGAAAAAAGAAAAGAGCAAATCTGACAGTTAGTGGTGAAGGGCTCAGCATGTTGTTTTATGCGCTGCCACATTTTCAACACCTTTCTGTCTGTTTTTTCCACTATTTTGTGTGTTAGGGTTTGATATATAAGGTCTTCACTGCAAGAAAACAATCTAGATTCTCTGTCACATGAGTTGCAACCAGTGCTGAAGAGATTACTTACACAAATTGTAGTCCGTTACCGATTACAAATACAAGTACAATACATACTTTAGGTAATGCATTATGACCATTTTTATTACTTTTGACCTAATATATACATTTAAATAGGAGTATTTATCATCATATTCATAACAGAAGATATATATATATAAAAATACTAATAAATTATATATATATATATATATATATATATATATATATATAATAAATATCCTAAATAAAAAAATGCATACAAAATATAATATAGAAAATTATAAAGAAATAAAATATATTCCATTTTTTAACAACATCATGAAGGACCTCAAAGTGGGGTTTGTGAAGGAACTGCTGGGGATTTGTGACAATACTAATAATTAATATCATAACAATGAATTAAATATTAAAATCAAAATAAAATGCATGCAATAATGTGACCAACATTAGGGAATCAATAAATTATTAATAATTTACTGGCATTGTGTGAATAATATGAAATTATATCATCAAAAAAAAAAGTAAATGTGTTGTGATTATGAGTATTATTAAAGTGAAATACAGTATCAAATCACTGCAGACTACAGTAAGGGCTTGAAAATTAATCTTTGCACCACAGAAATAAATTATATTACGTAGTAGCCTATATTAAAATTGAAAACCATTATTTTAAATTGTAATAATTTCAAGTCATAATATTACATTTTATTCTGTATTTTTATCAAATAAATGTAGGATTGATAAGAGACTTCTTTTAAAAACATAAAAAATAGTAATGTTTCCAAATTTTTGACCGGTACTGTTTATCCAATTACAAGTACGCCATCTTTTGGAATCAAATGACGTAATCCACAAAACATATATAACCAGTTACTCATCAGCACTGGACAGGGTCAGGCTGCCTTCTAACACCAGTGACTGCTCGGGTCCCGCGTGCTGTAATGTGAAAGGACGTGACCCCTGGATCGCCCACCACCCATACGCCCTTGTCATAGTGTCACATGCCACGGGAGGCCCTAGAAGTACTTGATGTCGGATGCCTATACTCTCCACCCACTCTCTAACAGGCTTCTGAGGGAATATTCCGCTGGTTTATATGAATGTCACTTTCTTGCTTTTTTTTTTTCTCTCCCCGAGGACTCAAAGCAGCCAACACAGTCGAATGTTCCCCTATACAGTGACATTACACCCACTGACACTAACCTGAACCTCTAGGCTGGATCTGCTGCTCTTTTGCATTTTTCTCTCTCCCAGTTTCAGTTTATAAATCAAATCTTCCAAAGCGTGGTAGGTGGAGACATATGCCTCTTTGTTCTTGTTCTCACTATTTTTTATTTTTTTTGCGGTGAGTCATAAAAAACGTATTGTAACCGAATAAGACGACAGATCAGAGATAAAGTACAACTATTTGGAAAACTTTTCAAAACCAAGAGAAATCATAGACTCTGTAGCAAATCAAAGTAACCTGCCTCACTGTCTCTACATAGGCAGCAGTTCAGTTTAAAAATGCCCAATATAGGCAGTAAATAATCTAACGCACACATAGTTGCTGCTTATAGTTTAATAAGCATAAAAACATGCAGCACACACTAATATTAGGTCATTTTTAATTAGATTAAACTTTTATAATCAAAGTTTTTGGTTTCGGATGATTTATACGAACAGCAGTAAGTGGTGTCAAGGAAATGGATTTGATTCCCATGGAATTCATTAATTAATAAAAATGTGTTGGACATACCTCTATATAAAATGCATATGTGTAAATAAATATTTATCTGGCTTCTTTCAGATGTAGTGCATTATGAGATTGCCTACTTTCTACAAAGCAGCATTTATTTACAGTAAAAAAACAGGGTAAATCAGTAATATTGTGAAATATTATTACAATTTAAAAGTAACTGTTTTCTATTTTAATATGATAATTTATTATGCAATTCATTTCTATGATGTCAAAGCTGAATTTTCAGAATCATTACTCCAGTCTTTAGTGTCACATGATTCATAAATCATTCTAATATTCTGATTTGGTGTTCAAGAAACATTTCTTATTATTCAGTTGAAAATAGCTGCTTAATTTCTTTGTGGAAAATCTGATAGATTTGTTTACTAGATGAATAGAAAGTTCAAAAGAACAGCAATTATTTGAAACAGAAATCTTTGTAACAACCCTTTACTGGCACTTTTGATTAGGGTTGGGTATCGTTTGAATTTGAACGATTCTGATTCCGATTCCGATTCCTTGTTTCGATTCCGGTTCCCAACGATTCTCGATTCTGATTCTTTTAAGAGCCAGGGTCAAAAAAGTTTAGCTAACCTTGCTAACCAATGGCCTTTCTGAAGGAAATAATCCTTTCTGAAGGAAATACTCCTTTTGTCACAAACACACACTTTGGGACCGCCGACGTAAGCTAGTCATGTTCGACTCGCGCGGTCATGCCAACACTTCCGGTAGACGCTTCTTCGTTGGTGTTGTTCAGCGGTTTCTTCTTCCGCTCGGCGGACTGTGAATATCGAAACTAGGAATCGAAATTTTAACTTTTGAACGATTCCGGAAAAAACGAAAAGTTAGTCATGGTTCCAATCGATACTCGATTCTCGATACCCAACCCTACTTTTGATACCTTTAAAGTAATCCTGGTGAAAATTAAAAGTATTATTTTCTTTAAAAAAATGTATAAATTTGAATGGTATAAAACAATTCAAACTTAGAATTTGGCTAAAAGAAGCAATCCACCCTTAGTTTGAAACAAAACGCCTATGTAGGCAGCTCCCTAGGTTTTAGAACAAAGCCACAATGAAAACAACTGGTGCTTGTATGGCGCAATGTTGAAATGACCTTGCTATATCCTTTCTGAAAAATTCTAGATCTTAAAAAAAAAAACCCAAACAAACAGAGCAATTACCGTGCACAGACATCCCAGAATAATCCAACACATGGAGCTCTGAAAAATTACATAAAGCAAGCTATTACGTAAAGCACTGGCGCTAGCAATTTTAATGATTTAGTGCTTGAAGTTTTCCCATGTAAACTAAAACTGACTGAATCGTGTTTTTCCAGGGTTTGGGGAGAGACGGAAACAGCGTCCCCCTCCCGACCCTCAGTCCGAGATCAACACCGCACCAATACGACGGGCATGACAGTGAGGACCCATAAGCCATCTGTGAATCAGGCTGACATTCATTTGGCCTGATTTGTGCAAAGACACTGCATATCAATGAGGAACACCACGGCCTAATATACGACACGAACCCAAATCTGTCTCAGAGACTGAAGCTAGAGAGCCAGCGAATTCGGAAAGTATGCTCCGGCTCGGATTTGCACCCCGTAGGGCATGTGTCTTGGTACATCCCGGTCTTAATTCTTAATCAGACACAAGGGCCTGGAATCGAGTGGGTCACAGCGTGAAGCAAAGATCAGATGATTATGTTCTTTGAAATGTAACACAAATCTAATTCAGTCGAATCAAAGGCCAGAGAGGATGGAAAAAAAAGCCGAAAATAACAGCATCCCAGCACGCATCCCACCGCCAGTTCCAATTACGTGAGCGCTTTACATAATTAAACATTTAAACGCGACACAAAAAGATCATGCGCAGGAAACTCAATATGCAGGTGATGATTTAAGAAGCAAACAGAGCTGCAGGAAAAGTGTTCTGTCGTTAGCATGATAAAGCATGTGGCTTATTACTGCCACAGCAGGGCGAGAACTGCTGTAGATGCTTTTATGAGGAGCTACAGTGCACACAAACACAAGCACATGGAGTGTGTAAACAACACGGGGTTAGAGCGGCGGGAAGAAAACATGGAGTTAAACTAAACGCACATGGAGAGGAGAAAGAGGATGGGACAAGTGATGTGGAGCAAGAACAAAAGGAGCTATTAACCTGGTTGGTCAGAGCAGCTGGCAGTGACTGCAGTGCAGGAGGAAGTGGTGGTGGTGGTGGTGTTGGTGGTGATTGTCTTAGCGCCGCTGTCCTGGGCGGCTGCACTTTTCTGCTTATTTTTCGTGGACTCCTGTGCTTTGAGCTTCTTGGCATGTTTACTGCCTTTGTAGTGCGCCTCGGCTTGGCTCTACAAAGGAGAACAAATGAATCATCCAATCAGGCTCATTTCTAACATCTAGCATCTACCATCATGGACAGCAATCACACACACACACATTTCAGACATGCTTTCAATAGCAGGCACTGTTCAAATCAAGGTAAGGAGGAGATTTGGGTGAGCCCATTTTCCAGAGCCTAAGAAAAAGAGACGGACATGCCGGCCGGGTTTAGAGGGGATTGATTCTCAATGAAAAAAAAAAAAAAACGAAATGGACATCGATAGCTGGCAATCATTGAGGTTGCTAATGGAGCGTTTACTCGTATCTTTAGTTGTTCAACTTTCAAGTGGAGATTTAAAGGGAAAATGACTACTTCACGGTTCACACTTAAATAGAATGAGAGGGAGCGAGAGAGAAACAGCTTATGATGGATTCGGATACATTTGAATATCTGACTGGTAAGAATTAGGGGCTTAATTTCTCATTTTTATGACATTAAAAGTGACAAAGTCCCAAAAGACCTGCAGATGGATTTTCTCTCCAAATGCTGATACTCTGTCACATTCACTAACTGCACGTTTAAGGGATTTCTGACAGTGCGGGCAGACAGATTTTTCCTGCAGATTATTCAAAGAGAAATCCTGCAAATTCTAGTTTTCGAGGTGTTGAAACAAGCATTTTAGGTAAGGGCCATTCGCACTGATTGTGCTGCTAATCTTTTTTTTTATCTTGTAATTTTATTACATTTACAATTGCGTTATTATTAAAAATTATATTTAACAATAAAATTATAATATTAACATATATATATATATATATATATATCACTGTAAAAAAATATTGTTGGTTTAACTTAAAAAAATGTAGTAACCTAGTAGCCTTAAAATTTTAAGTTCATTGAAATGAAAAAATTGAGTTAATACAATGAAGGAGATTGAATTAATCATCAGAAACTCAAAATTTTATGTTATCTGAACTACATGAATTGTTTAAGTTGATTTGACAGAAGAAAAAATGTTGTGATTACAAATCATAAAATATATATATATATATATATATATATATTTTTTACAATGAATCACTCTCAGTGTGAACCTTCACCAAACCTGTATTTGGGGGGCTTGGGTATAGGCCGAGTTTTATAAGTTCAGTGATTGCAGAACAGTATTGGATGTGCCTCTATTGAAAGAAACATATTAACTGTACTAGTTAATACATATATACAATTGATCAAAACAAACACACGGACAGACAGACAAAAGAATATCTATTACAAAGCATGCGGCTAACATCATGTAGTAAAGGTGCTGGTATTAAAGAGGGGTCAAAGTTATTTTGTTTCTTTTTTCTGTCATAAAGACAAAATGGCTGCCGTTCACTTGTGATCTTGTGAATAATGTGTGTTGAACCATCTGAGTCAGAGCTAAAAAAACATTAAATATGATAGGAGAGAAGAAAGACAGAGACAGACCAGGCGAAAATGAGGTGCGCAACATCCATCGCACCAACAGCACAGATTGCTTGTTCAAGTGACAGGCATGAGAGTCACAATGACACACAGGACGCTGCTGCAGACAGTGACAGGAGAGAATGATGTGACGACCTGGGGCGTTTTGTCTTCTCTGCACTGTGCAAATGTTAGCAGCGCTTGTGACCTGGATTAAGTGCACTTGACATTTATAAATTGACTTTCTCCCAAGCTAAATGTGAGCCCATTTCAATATTTACAAAAACATTCACAACCGGACCATAATTTCAGTCTTTATGACATCAAGTGTCTTCCAGCTTAGCTCTAGCAATCACAGGGCCTCATTCGTGGAACACCATCAGCAGAAATTTCTCTGTAAATACTTTTAAACATAGAACGGTTTTGTGAACATTAAAGGTATAGTTCACCCAGAAATTAACATTTTTTTTTTCCATAATTTACTCACCCTCATGTTGTTCCAAACCTGTACGCACATTTCTTTCTTCTGCAAAACACAAAAGAGGATATTTTGAAGAATGTTGGGGTCCAAACAACATTGGACTCAATTGACTGTAACTGTATGGGGGAGAAAAACACTGAGGCATTTTTTTTTTCTCAAATCTTTTGTGTTCCACAGAAGAAAATCACCAATAAATGTAAATTTCCAGATTTTAAAAGCACAGTAGCTAAACAATATCTTAACATCCATGTCAATCATAAGTGTAAAGTATATGTGGCACTGTTTATTTAGTTATCTCTTCACTCCCCATGATGAATTGAGAAAATGAATCTGGAATTGCAATTTTGAAATTAGATCCATTGATTAAAACAAATCTGGAAAATTCTGGAATCAAACGGCCCTTCGATTTAGTCTACCATTCAAAAGTGGGATCTGTAAGATTTTTTGAAGTCTCTTATGCTCACCAAAGCTGTATCAAATATACACTAAAATATTTTGAAATATAATTATTTTAATATTTGAATATAAAAATATAAATAATTTTTAAATATAATGTATTCCTGTGGTCAAAGCTGAAATTAACATCATTATTCCAGTCTCCAGTGTCACATGATCCTTCACAAATCATTCTAATATGCTGATTTGATGCTCATGAAACTTGTTGTGTTGCTTCATAATTTTTACATTTAGAAAATACAAATCCATCCTTGCTAAATTAAAGTATTCATTTCTTTTAAAAAAAATCTTAATGACCCCAAACTTTTGAAAAGTAACATACACAGATTATCAAAATCAACCATCAATGCAGGAATGGTTTGCAAAACGATTTAATATACAAATTCATTCTGCGTGTCTTGAACGAATAGTCACAATGCTGCAATTTATTTGTGAATATACTTTCACAAACATTTTCACTGTGTATCAAGAACGAGGCTCATTGAGCGTGTATGACATTCTTCAGTGAACAGTCAGGCACATACACACTTTATTAATAGCTATGTTGCAAAAAAAGTCTTTGCAACAAGAGCAGGACACGATCGAGCAAACATAAAAAGGCTTGCATTGGCAATAAGCACCAGTAAGCCTTTCTGCTGATATTTGCAAATACGAGCTGCCAGCAATATCAGTGCATTACCCTACAGCTGTCTCTGTATCCTCCCGTTCAGCGCTCATGTACTGTACAAGAAACCTGTCAAACACATACACACCTACACATTGTAACAGCTTGATGTATGAAAGTACACAGTTTATCTTTTAGGGAGTCTATTCTCTCATGCATACAGGCTTTGGCTGATGTAATACACATACCAGCCTCAGATGGGGCATCACTGTCAGAAATGGATTTGATTTCCTATTTCTCCTATTTTTTTGTTATCCTCTGATCCCACTACAATGTGTCTTATAAAAGTGGTTTGCACATGTTTCTTCTATGTTAAAAGTCCTAGTGGCAGAATGCAACTGAAATGCCTATAAGTGAGCCATCATCTGCAATACTTTAAACATAGCTCCTTTTTTAGCAGGACTACCTGCTTTTCCAAACAACATGCAGATGGGTGGAGGGTTCTGAAAACCTGTTTGGAAACAGTAGTTATGTCATATTCTTGGTTTGGCAACGAAATGACACACTCCACCTTTAAACGCATGTGTGCTAGCATAGTGGTGCAAAATTTAGTCTAACAAAGACAATCTCAAATGATTTAGTCAATTATGCAATACAAGCATTGTTAGTTGTTTTTCTGAGGCCACAGGTCCCTGCAACATCTGCTCACAAACTTCCTCAATGCATGAAGTCATACAGCAATTATTACCTACTCTATTCCCTCACCCCTCACTTGTTCAGCCTTTTAAATATTTTTTAAGCACAATAACAGCCTCAATTTGATGAAAAATGCAAGCCAAACGTTAAGGCCTGATTATTAGACAATTTCCAGACTCCAGTTTTTTTTTTCTCCCTTTTTTTTTTATCTCAGAGCACAGATAAAAGTGTTTTTGTCCAGCTTATAATAAATCTTTTTTTTTTTTTTTTTTTTTTTTTACATTTCCACCTACTCAAAGCTCAAGACATCAGAAGATTCCTTACATGTGTGAACTCCAGATTAATCTTTTGGCAGAACACACCCTGATCTGAACTCCCTCTGGTAATCCATCTTCCAAATATAATAGTACTATATAACAGAACATCAATCCTCATAATTAGTCCCAGCTATAAAACATTAAAATATGAATGTATTTGTTCAAATATTTTTGTTTGTTTCTTATAACTCTTTCTCAGCCAGTGTTTTTAAAAAAAGTTGCCAGCCACCATCAAAGTTCTGGCCCCCATTATATTTTGTGTTATGAATATCGGAACATGCCATTTTTAAACAAAGGTCTGCTTTTAAACAGCAATATATATATATATATATATATATATATATATATATATATATATTGCTATATATATATATTGCTATATATATATAAATATATATATATATATATATATATATATATATATATAGAGCTCAGTCTTATAGCAGGTGGGTCAACATTTCATTCTGTAACATTAGGCAGTTTTGATTTATGTGCTGTTTAATGTTAATAATTGCATTATTTTTCATATGCATATGATTATTAAAACCCCGAAAATTCCATCAATAGTGGGGGAGCAATTTCTCCCAAATGACAGAAATGTTCGTCAATGGCGGGGAAAGCGTTAAAGAGCTTACAACTAAATTTAACATCATTAATTTTGCTGTGATGCTGTGGATTCAATAACAACACCTGTGAAGAGATGATGCCAACCGCTGCGAGGACTTCAGATGACACCAAATCTCAATCAACACACACAACTGCCAGATTTTCAGATCATATGATCATACGATCTTGTAATAATTATTATTTTTTTCAGCCTAAATGAATACATGAGGTCGGATTTGTATTATCTTTGAACTGTACATTTCTGAAATATGGACATTACATGGACACAGTCACCATGTACACAGTCATGTATTGTGAAAAGCGCTATACAAATAAATAAATAAATAAAAGTTAATAAATAGATTATTCAGTATAACAGTATTAAATTGACCAGATTCTGACCCACACAAAGTTCACAAGAACTGCTGCAGATCTCAAAGTAGTGAAGGAACCCATTTCCAGATCTCCTCACATGTACTGTAAGGCCCATATACACCAGGTATTAAGATCTGTCTCAGTGATCCGATCAGTCATCCCAAAAATATCACTGCGTAAACCTTTTAGTATGGTTTAAATTGAGGTTTTGAAAGTGGAAAAACCCTAAAATATGGCAGCCAATCTGATGCCCTTTGACTCAATATGAGTAATTATGCTGAATTTGTAGCATAATTACTCCAGTCTTCATTGTCACTGATCCCTCAGAAATCATTCTAATACACTGATTTGCTGCTCAAAAGAAACATTCCCCATTATTATCAATGTTAAAAACAGTCGTGCTGCTAAATATTTTTCCATCACTTTTTGATAATTGTTCACCATCTTAATACCAGGTGTAAATGTTGACAAAGTTGTGTTGAAATTTGAAACCAAGCTCTCCTTACGCCGCTGGGTAACTTTAGTCAAGCAACGACACGACATTTCAACAGAGACACGTGTTGCGGGGGTGTGGCGGCTGTAATGACACAGCATGTATACGCGGCCATAAAGCTTTAATGAGATATGCTGGTTATCTGCCATATTGGCTTGTTCTCACATAAGGGCTGTTGGTCTCTGGAGGGAAGCCTCCACTTCACCTAATGTCACATCACAGCAGGACACACACCTTTAGATCAGGTAACTTCAAATGAAATTGCCGTGGCTTCTCTGTTACACTGAGCGCAAATGGAGATAAAACAGCTCATTTACAGAAGATAAGGGAAACCTAAGAGCGCACTCCAGCCATTATTCTCATTTCTTTAATGCAGTCTTCAAAAGAACAACCCACGGCTGATTCACCTTCAAAACAAACCCCTTACAAAGGAAAAAAAAAAAAAATCAGACAATGTAATAACTGACAAAAGACAAAGCCGATGGGGGGAAGAGTTAAGGTATAAACAGTTTATATGTATTAGCCAGTGCAGTAAAAAGCTTAAAAACTCAGCTGCGATTTTCCCACAATCGCAGAGTTTATTCAGGCCACATCTGCAAAAATTTATTTTAACAGCTAAACCGAGGGCCAAGATTTCTGAGACAAAATATAAAATAAAAAACCCATATCAAACCAAAAACAGTTTATAGAACTGTCAGCTGCCTGTAGGCCTCGCCTGAAGTGTAATTACGGCATTAAAAAAGTTGCATTCTACAGAAAATGGAGCATGTTTAGTTTGTGGAAAGAACATAAAATATAATTCAGAACACATTAATGGTAAGGTCATTTATATGAGGCATTTCAGAGGCTGGAGTTTAACTATTAAGTCGCAAGGGGTCAGTAAATTGCGTGATGGATTTGAATGGTTAAAAAGCGTAATTATACGCCTGGCAAAGTTTCATAATGGACATAAATGCCATTTAAGGTTTGGCTTTTACACACATTGATCTGAGCCATTAATTAGAGCTAATCTATAGTGATTCAGGGAACTTGTACTGCGTGTGATCGGTGTGTCCATTTGTACACATTACCCTAACAGCATTGGTGACGCTCAACAGGCAAATCAAACGCTCAGTGTGACAGCAGTTACACGACGTCCTGTTCAAAAATATCTTATGCTCACCAGGACTGCATAAAAAAATACAGCAGAAACAGTGAAATTGTGTAACATTATAACAATTTAAAAGACGTTTTATATTCAAATATATTTAAAAACTGTAAAAAAAAAATATTTTCATGATTTGTAATAACAACATTTTTTCATTTGTCAAATCAACTTAAATCATTGATGTAGTTCAGATAACATAATATTTTGAGTTTCTGATGGTTAAATCAATCTCACTCATTGTATTAACTCAATTTTTCCATTTCAATGAACTTCAAATTTTAAGGAAACCAGGTTACTTCATTTTTTTAAGCTAAACCAACAATATTTTTTTACAGTGTGATAGCAAAGCTG